TCAATGGCATTGCAACATTTTCATTATAGATATATTTCTGAGTCTCTTTACTTGGTGCCTGCATGGAAATAATGRAAAATATGTATAAAACATAATGTCAAAACACTCAGATACGTCTCCCGTATSACATATCAGGTCTTCCATGAAACAGAAGATGATAATGTTACTAAATGACTTTCACAACTTTTGAACTTTAGATCTCTAAAATAGTTGCATAAAATTCTTATTCTTTAAATCCTACTGAGCAGAGAAAAAGTTTGATTATGATATTGGCAGGTAATATCTAATAATTCACTAAAAGGAMAGACAGTTGTTTAAATTTGGTACCTTGCTAACTGTACCTAAGATAAAGTCTCTTGCATATGCTTMAACTTTTGACAACTAAGGAACGAGGGTTTCTATGATTCTGGGATTTTTCACTGTGCAATCCAAAATGCCAGTTTTCTCAGACCTAGCTTGGGAATCTTCAAAATAGTGTTGAATTTCAGACATAAATTTGTTACCTTGTTAATACTGTAAGATGTGCTCAACAAATGTTAATTAATCAATCATATGAGATACATATATTTATAATTTGACAGTGGTTTCCTGCATTGTTTTGTTCTACACCACACTGTTTGTAATATTTAAATTTCAAAATCACAACAAGGCTCTTTCATCTTAGATAAGAATATTTAATTACAATTAAGAAAAATATTTTATTGAGTCTTTTACATACTTATTGTTACATTTTTCTGAGTATAGGAACTCTTGTAACAGGTGAATAAATGGATAGGGGATGCCACTGAACTCCATTTGAACTGAGCCCAATAAGCTGTGTTAGACTACACAGACCTTTCAGAAAAATGTTCCATCCCGATTTGAAAATATCAGAAAATGGAGAAACCACAACTATCTTTGCTAACTTCTTCCAGTGGTTAATCGGCTTTATAACTACTAGTTCAGAATTTTTATGCTGTTTTGTTATGTTTTTCYTTGCTTGCACAGTGAAACACATAGTTCCTCGAATTCTTCTCTCTTAGGAGCAACTTATTAACTATAATGAGGTAACTTTATTTTAAAATTTTCTTTATATTTATGTACAAATACATAGGCTTACCTTCAAATGAAGAATGCCAAAGAGAACTCCCCAGACTGGAAATCCCGACATTCTCTAACTGGCATTAAAAAAGTTCAATGAGTGTTATAGAAAAAAAAAGAAAAAAAAAAAAAAAAAAAAANGCCAAGAATGAGCACAAACTAGGTGGACATGATTTTCTGAAACTGCATGCTCAGGTGAGTGCCAAAACACAGATTAAGGAGATGAATTTCTAAATTGTATTGACGTTTCTGAAATTCCACTCCCACATAAGATTAAGGCATCCATTTTTAAGATAGTGACTTWAAGCAATGAAGAAACAGTACCACTAAATAAGTATTGCAGTCTTCCACTGCCCCATGTTCAGGTGGGAAAGATGTTTAGATCTAAGAATGGAATTGCTATCAATTTACTGAAAARTAAGGGCAATAAGAACCCTCTACACCACATGGAAAACAAAGTATTTTATTCATGTTTCCTGCAGCGAAAAAAAYTGACCTGTCAGAGATATCCTGGCTGTTTAGATATGGCTGGAGGAGATATCCTCAGCAACTCAGAACRGCTGAAATCTCACAAAAAGTATATSCTTCCTACATGTGCTTAAGACGCTCAATTATTTTTCTCTCTGCTTGCTGCATATTCCAGCCATTCTACTTTAATTTTCTATATATACAGAAACTGAAGATCATAGTTTGTTTTCATGCAAAAAATCCTAAATWAAATATACGTCTAATATTCAATCTATAATTTACAACCCTATGATAAACACAAGGTAAAACATCTGCATGGATTAGTTATGGCAAAACACCTGGGTAGTTTCCATAGTTTTGTAAAAACATAATGAAAATATAATTTATATTGTCTCAAAGACATTGAAAGATCTTCCATTTTAAAATTAGCAAGTGGTAATGTTGCAAATAATGTAAAGAGGACTTCACAGATTATTATCTACTCATCTAGATGGAATCTTCCTAATAATTAAGATTTAAAAATCAGCAGTGTATATGATTTTGTGGGTAATAAGCCCTTAATGGATAACATGGGTTTTAATAGYGCTTCGCTTTACAGTCTTTGAGAAGCTTGGTAATAGAAGAGATGAAAACAAAACAAAACAGAAAAGTCCTCCTCTTAAGTCACATCTACTTCATAGTCACAGAAGTGACTTCTGTGAAATGTTGAGGTATTTTAAGCTAGATAGACCAGAAAATTGTAACTGTCTAGCTATTTCTGCTTGGCTTATTTGAGTCCACTCTTCACTTTTACTTCTGTGAGAGCAATGTAGACATGTACCAGAGACTTCTGTTCCGTTCCATCTTTGAATCTTTTCTTYTCTCCACTTTCCTTTTATTCTCCTCAAATTAGGAAGCTCAAAGTGAGGAATGAAACTCAAGTTTAAAGCTTGAAACATTTGGTGAYACTTGGTGACCCCAAGATGAATGCCGGTTGACACCTACTTGCTRTACCTGAAATGTCTAAATATTTCATGAACAGCTTATGTAGTGATATCTGTAAATATCTCCTCTCCAGTATATTTTAGTTAAAGCCAGCCGTGCACCACTGTGACTTCAATCACTCTCTGAAGACACTTGTGGGTATCACTAGGGGTGCAAATGTAATATTTAGCTGATGAATTCCATCCAAGAGTCTTAAAGTCTTGATTAAGAGAATGAATCAAATAGTTTAGGTGAATTCTTCTTTTGATTTAAAAATAGTTAAATTAATAATAGAGAATCTAAACCATGGGTGAAGCTGAAATCAGAAACTGACTTAAGAGGAATATAAATACAATTGAAAATTAGGAAGAAACAAGGTCCCTGTACCATATAAGTTTTTGAACCTCCTAAAAAATAGCCTTAATTCTCAAAACCATGGCAATTTGATATGCTGAAAAAATAATTATAAATCTGATCAAGAAATGCTTTAAATGAATATTTTTAATCCCTTTTWATACATTTTTCAACATTTCAAAATGAAGTCAATTTGAACTGGAAAATGAAAATTCATATTTAGAAATTCTGAAACAGGATTTTCAATAAGATAAAACCTTTTTTCCACAATATACTCTAATGGGAATTTTCAAGACCATCATTTTTAACAAACAGTGCCGCTCTTGTTGAGTAATACTTCAAGTAAACATTTCATTGAAAAATTCTAATCAAGTCAAATGGCAATATACACTATCTTCATGATAGAAAACTATATCAAAAATAAACACTTGTTTACCTAAACACTCATCAGAATTTACTTGCTTGCTATTGTTCTTTGCCTTTTATAAACAAACATTATTGCTCCTCTTGTTTATCACTAAAAGTACTGCAAAGAAATGTACTTCATCTATTTAATGGAAGACAGAAAACTTAAATATTTGGATTATTTTTTCGCTGCAATAGGACTAGTAAAACTACAAATCAGATTATTTTTGCTGGCATATTATTGACTGCTTTCACAGAAATGATGCATACACCTCATAAGTGTATCTGTAGCAGGTAGAAACTCCCAAACATACAATATAATCTTGAGTCCTTTGTTTTTATTTATGCAGGAATGAGAGACACTGATTTAAGAAACCTGCACTGAAATACTAATTTATGAATGGGTCTCCATGACTGCTATTTTCCTTAATATAAATATACACTTTTAGGGATGACTTTGCCTAGGTTTCACCACAGTCTCTCTACAGAATTCGCCGTATAACAGACACCTGGCTCATGCATATTCTTTCCAGTTTCAAAGCAAAGGACTAATGCCTTTCCCCTACTAGCTTTTTGCATCTTTTTGCTTCACATAATTTCTCATGGTAACCAACTTCATAAACCATTATCAAAAAGTCAGTTTCTCTCTTGTGGACACCAAGCAGAATCACTTTTCTGTTTTATATTAAATTAACTACTGCTTCAATTTTTCCTCCTAAGAATCCAAATTCTTAAAATGGAGTAAAAATGTTCAAGTAAGAGTGGATATTCAGTAGGGTTATTTTCAGGCTCTGCTACTTTATGGCAATAGTTATAATGTTACAGGAGGACAGCAAGACCCTGTTACTTCCTTCTCAAGTTTTACTTATTATGTATATATATATATTTTAAAAATACATAAATATAAGGTATTTTGGACGCATTCTTCATAAAAATATAGGGGGACAAGAGCMAGCTGCATAATATATTTTAGAATGAGAAATTTGCTGTTTAAAAGAAAGGTTTCAAGGGAATTAAAACTCAAATATTTAATGGCAAATGCATAACTTCATGAATATTACTGCAACTTAATGAATAATGACTAATGAACTCATGAATTTCTGGAATTAATATCTGCAATATATACTGAAATAAAAATATACATTTTATCATTTTTTCTTTAAAAGCTCAAAATTTAGGAAATGTTACGTTAAAACAATAAAGTAATAAATCAGTTATGCCATCAATCACAAAACTAAAGAATTTGAAGCTATTCCTTTTATGTGCAAAATATTGTTCCCATTTCAATGTATGGCATAAGCTGAAGCTTCTATAAAAATATTTATAATAAAATACCGCATAAATCTGTAATTACATTTAATCGGTTTTAGAAAGATGCATCCAATACTTAGACACTGTAAAATTACTTAAAATCAGTCAATTTTACCTCAGTTACTGCTGAAGTAACAAAAAGTATGATGCAACAGTCTTTTGTGAACTGAACTGCATATTTTCTCTCATCTACATAAAGCTCTGTAAATAACCTACAGGTTGTTAGTCATTGCTTAACTCAGCATCCAAAATGCTCATTTTAGCTCTCCCATATTAAYGCATTATGCACAGAGTATTTTAATTAACCATCAACAACAATTTGCATTTTAAACAATGTAAGGAAGAGTTACAGAAAACAATTTTGACTACCCATGGTAAAGCCTTCTTAGAATTCCCTCCATTGAACATACAAACCCCTCTGAAGGAACTCAAAAGTCTTTAATGGATTGTCTTGGAACAAATCATCAAAGCAGAATTCAGTATCTAACATAAGGTGCTTCCTGGGCCATGGGTATATGTAAAGCATCATGCAAGGTATGAAATCACTCCATTCTTCTTCCTTCAGTTGGCTGTCACACTGGCTTCCTTCTGACGCAGTCTTTCTTTCTGTAAAAAACAGTTTGATTATAATTCTTGTCTATAATTTTCTATCTCCTTTCAMGTTGCATGAACATTTGGTCTAGAAGATGGAGATAATCTAAGTCACATTTCCAGTTTTAATTAAAAGATGCTTGGAGCACTCAGAGAAGGCTCGAACCCAGTTCAATACTTACCATGGAAAAGCCGAGTTTGCTTTGGTTACATAATTTTCAAATACTATGTACCTTTAAAAATACATACCTGTGAAGAGCAGAGCAGCTAGAGAAAACCAGATACATTTTAAATTCATGTGACTCTAATATATTCTCGTGTCTGGAAAGGTTTCTGCTGACATAAAGGCTCTAATTTAGCATTAACTAGATTATCTTGCCCAATGACCTCTTTTCCAGGCAAGTGTAGTCATTCAGATCTCTGCCTCTTGATCTGCAACTGGTATGCTCTGCTGAAAATGGAAATAATACACTGATTCCTTTACTTCCTTCCCTAGGAAGTCTCTTCCCTTCTTGAGTTTGAGAAAAGCTGGTCTAATCTATGTGCCTTGCACACAGACAAAATTGGTTTTATATACAACACAAATTATTAGACCTCTTGTAGTGTTCTATCAAAACACTTCCTGTACAGCAAGGAATAAAATGGGGATTTAAATCCCTTCTACCACTATTCAACAGAGAAACAAGATCTTTGACGTTTTGAGAAAACCAGACACTCAGCCATTGGACAAATATAAGCAGTGAGCTTCAAAGCACTTTGAAGCATGGAAGAAAATATARGAGACCTACAGTGGAAGGGAAGAAGAAACCATGAAAACACTTGTTTTTGTTATCTAAAATAACAGAGCCATGCTTAGGCTCATCTCAACTAAACTTTAAACATAAGTGATGGACTGCCATAGGGCATAAGCTTTAACATCTCTCCTTGGGAAGAAATTCACTCTGCTACATTCAAATTAAGAATACTACTCTTCAATAGTAGAAACCAGCCATCACTTTGAATGACAAGAACAGTGTCACAAAAGCCCTTTGGAATGTCACACTGAAAACCAAATCATACCAGGCTAGCTGTAGGATTGATTTTCTTCGTTTCAACTTTCTTCTCTGCAGTTAACTTGCTCACTGATTGCTGAGCCACTTTGATTCTGAAATACAGAAAAGATGTCATTAGATTCAATGAAATGACAGTGTTCTGGCTCTGCYTGGTGTATATATTTTGTAAGAAGCCTCACCAGTAACTTTTTWAAATCACATTAGCCCAACAAACTGCTATTTCTACTCAAAGGCACTTAATAAGGCACCAAAAGCAGATCAAAGTACATTTTCAAACTGAGAAAATCAAAAGCAAAAGGACAGCCTGTCTGTATTGCTCACTGAAAATGTCATCAGGAAAATGATTTCTCTGTTCTTGCAGGATCTGGATTTTACAGAGTATCTTTCCCACCAAAAAAGCTGTGGTATCAAGACAAAAGGATCCTCCTCTGAAAAAAAACSAACTAGCTGGCTCAATCTGTTGTACACATAGAATATGCTATTTTAGCAGGCCATTTGCCAGGCTACATATGTTATCTCCTCTGAAAGCCTTGAAATGAAAGCATCTGCCACTATTTTGTTAATGYTTTCTGCATTGCTTTAGACGGAATTGACTGACCAGCCTCACTGATGTGGCACYAGGAGGTACAAGAGGTTCTTGCCTTGTGTACAGCTGCAGACTAGTCTGCTAAAGTACTGTAGAAAAAGAGGGGAAAGAAGAACATAAATCTGATTCCTCTGCTGCTTGCCTCTTGCTCTCAAGGTCTTGCATACAAAACCCTTCTTTCTGTGCAGATTTAACAAGAGGAACCCAATGAGGATTTTAATCAGGACAAAAAGGAGAAACAGAATTAACGGAAAAAGGGACTTGACTCTCCTTGTACAGACTGGAAAGTGCATGGGRAATTATGTGCTAAACAGTGATAAAAAGGAAAGAAAATTCTTGGCACTTCTAATAGAGGATCTGCCCAGCACTAAGTGCCTTTATAATACTGATGCTACATACACCTACTTTATAATTCTATATGAAAATGCAGACGGAAAGAGGTTGGAAGTGAATTTTTGCAAGCAAAGAGAACTCAGCATACCAATTTTCAGTAATGTACACCAAGTCAGTCTCCTACTAGAAGCAACGTATTTCTTGGCACTCTTGAACTGAAAAGTTCTACTTTCTTCTCCTATTTAACTTTTTCCRCTGGCAGAAATAATTGCTATGGCCAGTCAAAAAGTATTTAAAATACCATGTCCAGTTCAAATCACTTTYGACACACTCAATTTTGGAGGAATTTTGGAAGAAAAGCAAAAAGGAAAGTGGATTATAGCTGCAATTACTGATGTGTACTTCCTTGCTGTAACACTTGCAGCAAGCCAGATTCTTTTTAAAATACAGAACACATTCCTAAATTCCCTTCTGTCTTTATCAATGTTGGAAATGTTATCAGTGTTGGAAACAACAAAAATTTACATATTTCAGAAGCATCTACTGGATGGTTCCTGGTGTTGCCTCACYTTCCAGTGCTTAAGAGCAGGAAACAGTCACACTACTTTCAASTAAACTTGCTGTCAACACTTTTAAATACACCATGGATTCAAGCTGTAACTATACCCTCAAATACACATTACAAATAATATGTAATTATTATTCTGTATATTTTTTAAATACAGCTGGCATGTTTTTAGAACTTAGTGTCTTCTGTTTCTACATGTAAACAGCTACACGACAACACATGATTCCATCTTTGTATTTCTGTTAATCTGCACAGTTTACTTCTTAATGCTGGATGACAGCAYCCACTGGGGAGCACGCTATTCCTCACAGCTACAGTGTTTATGCAAAGATGATGTTTTTCAACACAGTCTTCAGGTTCAGMAGAATCACACCAAGTGATCAGCTTCTAAACTCTTCCCTATTTTGAGCACATTTTCTATTTGATCACATTTGCTTTGGTCCTAGAAGTGTTTTCAAATAGTTTCAAAATGCCTGGAGTCCACATTTGCATCTGAAGGGAGACTTTCAGGGATTACAAACTTTTAGACTTGAAAAGAAAATTTTGCTTGTCACTGATTTAGGCCTAGCTCTGTGTATTTTATGCCATATTTGCACCATTTCTAGGAAAMTGTAATTTTGAAAGACAGAATGAATAGTCTGGATTATAAAATAAAAATAAAACAATTCACTAGCATGATTTGAATCATGCAATATTTGGCTCATAAAAATGACAGACTAGTTATGGGAAAAACGGAATCACTTCACTAACATATGACTGATAAGATTAGSAGGCACTATCAGAATTGTATTGCATAATTTAAAAAGAATGTAATTAAAAAGATGTGGTATCAAACTGAGAAGTACTGCACATTAGCACACAATATGGAAAAAATATTGAATTATCAAAACAATGCCTTTTTAAATATGAGAAGCATTATTCCAATAGTATATGTATCCCTACTATAATCAATGGGAATGTAATCGGCTTTTTCCTGCCTCCATGTGGCAGGTGCTGTCTTYCCCTGCAAATTGGACACAGGCCTCTTAAATTATAAGTTATTAGTGAAAAAGAAAGACATTACTTTATTCTTATTTTTATTTTGTACCTAGGTATGAAAAAACTTAATATAAACATATGCCTGTATTTATTAAAAAGTTTCCTTTTCAAGTCAGGAAAGATGTTTTTTCCCTTTACAGGAAAAGATACTACCAAGCCAGGGACWAACCAGATAAACTGATAATCCATTTTCATCCCTGCTTTTCACTCAAGTCAGACAGAAAGCAGCATGAACTGGCATGCTCCAAGCTCTGGAGTTCGCCAGTTAGGAAAACTGGAATCCCTTGTAAACAAAGCAATTCTCATTCATGTATTTGTGTTCCGGCTCTGCAACTGTGCGACGACAGAGACCAAAGTATCTGATTCCCTCTCAGCTTCTCAATATTCTGGACTAATCCATTTGTTTCGCTTCTAAAGCTTTTCCATGCAGCTGGTRGGTTATGTGGATGGCTGTGGGTTATGAAACAGCTTGGAATGACAGTTCTGTGCCACCTGAGCTTCCCATGACTATAAGTTCAAACTTCTCCCATAAAACTGTTTTGGCAAAAGGCAATGTTGTGCAAAAAAATTTCAGATATGGGTGGAGATGAACAAGAGGGGTAGCTACAGTCATCATCAACTGTTCAATCTAGAGCCAAACTGCATACCYAGTTGAGATCCTTAAAACAGCTGAACAGTGGCTTCCCTCAGGAGACTAAGAAATATCTCCAGAGCTCAAATTCCTTTCATGTGTTAAATGCTTTTCTGCTCTCAGTCCTATTTCTGTATGCAGCTCATAAACTAAACCTCAAGTCACAGCACCATTAACTGAAAACAGTCAGTCCATGAAATATAACAGGTTAGATTTCAGTCTCAAAATTTTAGAAGACAGGTATCTGTGTATTACCTGGCCTGGCAGATGATTTTCCAGAGTTATTTGGTTAGCTTTAAAATTAGGAGCCTTATACTAGACTATGAAGTTTGACCATTGCCACTTCGATTACTGTGTGGTACAATACAGTYGCTTGTTAAGCCTTCAGGCCCAAACCTTCTGGAAAGAGCTTGGTCATTACCGATTAAATCTTTAAATTTCATTTAGAGTAAATGTTCACTAACTAGATCAGTAAAAATAACAGTAAAATATATGTTGTCRGTGGATTTTGTCATCAAACCTCAAACTGCCAATATGTTTGATAAGTTTCTATTTTTTTCTGGATATACTGACAGTGGTTTATCTATACAAAGTGAGCAATTTTATCTCAGTAGTCACAAGGAACAAAAATTGGTTTTTATGTTTTAGGAAAGCTGGTGTGTGAGAAAAACAACCGGAAGAAAAGGACTACAGACCAAGAATATACTTCAGTCCACCTGAGACGGCCACTGGCAGATATTTAGGAGTATATAAAGACAGCCAAARCCTACAGTGATAATCCCCAACATGCTTTTGCAGCTGGAAACTTCCTTCTTGTSTAAGTCCTTCATAGATTTTTCTAATATAATTTTGTACTGTCACCATTTGGAAGCAATGCAAGCTTTTGCCATCTGTGGTATCTTGTGGCAAAATGTTCCTGTTTTTAAGATGAAATGTACAATTCTGTTCATTAAGTAATGATTGTGTYTTCTCCACCTATTGAGGCAAATTTTGGTTCTGTTTTTGATTTCTGAATTCTGACCTAGTTGTAAGCATGTTTGGTTTGAGTTTACTTCATCCAGCACAGTAATTATTGGAGCAATCTTATCTTTCCAAGTGTCATCGGTGATTTACATTAAGAGCAATAATTCTTTTCCTATTTAATTATTTCATATTTAGAGGGCAACAAGCACAAACACATTATAATAATCTTTGTCACATTTCTTTTGCAAAACAYAATCACCATTTGTGATGAAACTCTCACTGCAAACTTACTAGTATTTCTCCTGTATTTACACTTTTTTCCTATTTCAGACTTCTCTAGGATGTCCTCTTAAAATATAATTTAACAGATCTCGAATGCTTTAATCGATTTATGGATGGGCATTCATATATATATGCATAATGGATTTAAGTTGCTATCAACACATATTTGTTTTAGTTCTGAATTTACAGGCATGCCCACTGCAAGTAAAATTAGTAGTCGAAGAAAAGGAAGTGACAGTATAAATATATGCAATCTACCATGCTGTAAGCACTTCATTGCCAAAAACTCCAGCCTTTCTTTTAGTCTTCAATTCAGTTATCATCTCAAAATTTCATAAACAGAAAAGGGCTTAAAASCAGTCAATGTACCTGAATTCACACACATTGTAAATTATAAAGCTGTCAACAACAAAACTGGATTTTGATGTAAAACAGCACCAAAAAAAGAAGTGTTCAACATTTGGTGCATTTACATTAAGCTTTTTGCCAGCAATGAAGATGTGATTGTCAAAGCAAATCTTATTTCATTGTACTTAAATTCTGGTCTTGAAGGGAAAGTAAACTGTTGTTGTATTCCTATCAGACATACGGTTTGGAAAATTGTTTTCATTTTATCCCTATAGTAATTTATATATCGTATCGTATCATATCATATCTTATATTTTCACATATATCATATAATATCATATCATATCGTATCATATGTTTGTTATCTATCTGTAACTTCGCCTTGCATTCCTAAACGGTGCGCAAATTTTGTCCAGGAAAGAGACAATGACTCAACTATACTTCGCAGGCAGGTAATTTATTTTCATGATAGGTTAAATGCAGGGAAGCTCAGTCGAAGTRTTTACTTTCTGAGAAAGTCTCATCTCATTAGATTTCTATAGTTGTGTTACATTTGGGAGCCAAGCAGCTTTTAGACACAACAGACTCTTTGCAGCTGAGGCTGTCATTTAATTCAAGAGTGTATTCTTTTTTCTTAAAAATCAGAGATTTTTAAATTTGTATATTCTACAATGCAATTCGATTAGCTTTGAGTATAGAAATTTTAATTTTTGCAACAGATATTTCGACCTATTTTTACAACTATGAAGGTTAAACTAACACATTTTTAATTGTTCCTTTGAATAATGATAATTCTGTATATTATAATTAGATTTTTTGTTTATGTGTCATATTTCTTGAGAGACAAATTATAATCCACTATTAACATTCCAATATAAATGCAAATAATTGAACAAATCTTTAGATATACATACATACATATGTGTGTGTGTGTGTGTGTGTGTGTGTGTGTGTGTGTGTGTGTGTGCACGATCACCTAATTTATACACATTTTACATTGGGTTTCTGCAACTCCAGAAACCTGAAGGGTAACCCAATTGGAAACATGTTCACACAGTGATATCAGTGCCTCAGTTCTGGAACCTAAGTTTGAAATTACTGACTCAGATTGACAATTCTTCCTCTTTAAAATGTCCTTCAAAACAAGAAAAGGGTTTGCGATAAATAATGGGGTTTTTTTTGTTGTTGTGGTTGATTTTTTTAAAAAAAATTAAATTGCAGTATTTAAAAATGCACAACAAATAGTGCATCCAATTAATTAGCCAGTTAAGGAAGACAGCTGTCCATTCCTGTCATTCTAAGGTTTTTAGTTACCAATGTGCACAATGACTCTCAGCTTGCTTTCAAACTTTTTTGGAGAGCAGTTATCAACTCTTARTTTCATACTTTGTAAAACRGTACACTTAAATGATCATGACTTTWCAAGACATTTTCAGGTGATGAAAATAGCTTTTCCATGACTCTAAACTTCTGAYTTTCTTTTCAGTAGCACATTACAAAACAATTTGGGATGATGCAAACAGCTTTTCTGTCATTCTAATTTACTAATTACACAAGTTCCTCATTTTAACAGCTCATTGTCTTGATGAATTGCCCAAATTTTGAATGTAAAGGACAATGAMCTGTCCTTTTGAGAATAAAAAAATAATTTCAAGTGAGCTCTGRAAAAGTCTGTATGATCCAGAAAGTGTCAGCACTTGAAGCATTACAGTAACTGTGCTCTACATTCTACTGTTACTGCTTTATATTGAACAGGAATAAAAGCATCCRTCAGAGGAACTGGTGAAATATTTGTTCTGTGTTTCTGTTTGTAGATTTGATTGATATAACTATTAAACCACAAGAAATTCTCACCTCACTTGAGTATGAAACACAGAATATAGCAGTCTACTTACAAAGATTTCTTGCTTATTGTATTAAGAAAGTTAAGAAGTTATGTATTGTTAAAACACAAGGCATTTTAAATCAATTTATTTGAAGGGATTATTGTGTACCATTAGCAAGGTGATAATTACATAAAAGGGAAAGGGTGTATGGTTTGGATTTTTTTTTCCTTAGGTAGTCAATTTCTATTCTTCCTAACTGCTTTTGGAATAAAAATGTCAGGATTCAGCAGAAAATATAACCCTGAGATGATCTTTATTCATGACCATAGCAATGTGATTGGGACTATTTGACAAGTTTTTAAATGTAAATCAAACGTGTGTCTTAGACACAAGGAAAAAAAGATTCTCTGTAAATTTTGCAATTGTCTGCTTCCAAAATCAATCTATGTATGATACAAAAAGCTACAACTTTCAAGTGTTTTAAAAATGTAAGATCCATAAAACAATGATGATAAGGCTGATAATATTTTCCACATCCAGCCCTTCAAAAAATCTACTTTACATGAACCTAAAGGCCCCACTGATTTGTAGCAAGATGGAAAACATAAGTGCAAATGAGTGCATTAATTTTGCTYGTACTTTTAAAGACATTTTAATCTAAATCTCTGTCAATTTGGAATAAGCACCTGAATTTAAATGTCATTATGAAAAGTAATTGCTCATTCTTTTCCAAAGCATGACTACATTACCACTTCAGGACTTYTCAAATGAATAGTGATATGGTGAGCATGATGAGCTTGTAGTAGAATTGCTTTTTTTCTATGAAAGATTTTAAGCTTCTTTAAGAAAAGCAAGAAAAGAGCATGGTGAGTTTGTAGTAGAACTGCTTTTTTGAGTAAAAGATTTTAAGCTTCTGTAAGAAAATCAAGAAAATAATTGAAGGCTTTAGGTTTTTGGGTTCTTTTACTCTAACTAATAAAATCAGGAGACTGTTGTGAGATCTAGCGGCAAGTAGTTTGATGTCCTCAGCAGGACACCAAAGTCAGAAGCAACGCTGTAAATTCAGTGTGGGGCTTCGACACTATGCTAAGTGTGGCCTGAATCTCTGGGGCTTCCCTTTGATGCAAGTGCAGTATATTAACTGGAAAAGCATTCACTTTTATTTGTCTGTACTGTCTGCGACAGCAATATCGCCTCATTTAGGCTAGTTCAACATGAAAATGCACAGAGAAGCAATCTGTTATAAATTAGCACAGCTCCCCTTTCATTTTACTAGCTAGTAATTGGAAGGGGTTACAAAAGTGTAATTTATCAGATTATATGTGTTTATCTTTTTGTGGGGACAGCATGCCTTTGGTGAATTTTCCTACGCACCCTGAGGGAATAATCTTTCCTTGATGTCCATTAGATCTGAAAGAAAACAATGACGCCTGTGAAATATAGGAGTATAATTTGCTGGGTTTGAGAAGCAGCAGTTTCCCAGACATCTAAAATGGTATTAATGACTTTATTAGAACCTTACCGTTCCTTGGAAATGCTTTTGCTCTCTCGTTTCCAAATGGTCTTGAAGTCACTGCAGAATTCGTACCACACCGTGAAAACATAGTTTGGTGTGATCTCCTTCTCTCCAGGCTTTGGCTTTATCCCAAAGTATCCCACTGTTTCTTCAAAGCTGCAAGGGAGGGGGAAAAAAAACAGTCAACATGTAAGCCCACTTGGGAAAGTTTCTCTGATTCAGTAGTCAAGGCTGGTAATTACCATAACTTCCCCTTAGCCTTGGAAATTATAGCAGCAATTCATGCTAAGAATAACCAACCCTCTAACACCCACCTCATTTCCAGGAGGGTAACTTACAGATGCACAAGTCACCATACAGATATGTCRCACTGGCAGATCATGGACATTCAATTATAATGGGAAAAACTTAGCTTCTTGCATTACAGAATATGCTATATTGCATTTATTTCATTTTATTCTGCTACATTCCATGAAGATTTTATTCTCCCACTTATCTTTACAGAAGGCCTATATGAGAGTCACACTCCAAGTCAGGAAAAAATCTCCAGGTTTGCTGAAAAYAACCTTCTAGGTATTAAAGGAGAATTGGGAGTAGCCAAGCCACAGACATTGCCAAGAGTCAGTTTGCAAAGGTTTTACTGAAAAGAATGTCCTTCCACATGTATCAACTGTAATTTGTTAAACAAAATGTATTAGTAATATTGATTTATKGAATATTTTACTATCCATCTATAAATCAATTAATCCCACTTTTTCCATACTTTGACTCCGTTGGCCTAAGWAAGGCATAGACATTCAGGCAGTAAAACCATTAAGATTTCAATTGAATGCTGCATACTAAGTGCTGAAAATGTTCAGTGATGAYGAAATACATTTTTATGCCATCAAGTAGTTAATCAGTTACTTAAATATTCTGTAAAACTCCTGTTTGGTTCAATGTTGACAGTAATTAAAGCTTTAAACACTGTACACTGTTTGGATAAAAACTCAGAAATTTTTTCTGGAAGATTACTTAAGAGTTTTTCAGAAAATGCATTACTTCTTTGAAATACAGATCCTTTTTGTTTTTTTTTTTTTTTCACAGATCCTTTTTAATATAATTCTTAAATTCAATAATACCTTTGACCAAAATAAACTGCTAGAAAACACTAGCAAAACCTTACCATTTTTGAGCATTTTCCAAACTGTTCTCTTCCTTCATCCGTTCTTCTTTAGCTGCCAATGAAAAACATTGTAAAGGTATAAATTACTGTCTTGCTGTGTTAGAGATTCCACAGATTAAACAGCTCYTATTTTCAAAACTACATAGTTTGTATGCTAAGTATAAAAAAGGGAGTAAACAYTTGCTAATTTTCAATTTTTATTTATTTCTTGTTTATAATGAATGCTTCTACTTAACTAATGTTATGTATTGGATTTGAAAAGTAATTTAAAAGTTGTGTCTGTTTCTTTATTGTTGCAGACCAGGACTTACAAATTTAAAGCTGTATCTGCAGCWTAAATAATTGGAAATTCAATTGGAATTGAACAGGTACCAAACATAGTTAACACCAACTGTTCAATACAGCTATCACATTTTGTTCTGGAAGCTGGAAAGTGAAAACACATGTACAAGGTTTTAAATGTATGGCATGTACATGATTTTTTTTGGAAAATCAACCAAGAGTTTGGAAGACAATGAATCTGAGTCCCTCTGTTACAGAATGCTCATATGAACTACTTAAAAGGATTTGATTTTCAAAAGATAGGCATTCTCTACTATTCAAAATGTTTCCTGACCTGGATACTCAATGCAAAAGCACAGAGATTTTGTTGATCAAGTCTTCTTAATACACAGGAGCAACTTCAGCTCCAGCAGAATACCACATATATAAAATAATACTGTTATGGAGAAGTTATTCCTAATCCACATTAGAATAATCCTGTAAGTGGTAATGTTAATATAAACAGAATTCAGACACTTTTTAATACCAAGATAAAGAACTTTATATTTTTGCCTCTCAGTCTACAAGAGTGCCTAGTTGAAATACAGTTACAAACTTGAGTTCACAGACAAGGCCACTGAGCAATTGGTCCTGAATGTCTCCATTTCATTGTATGGCTACTGGCAAAGAGGTTTTTATTGTGATAGTAAAAAAAAAAAAAAAAAAAAATTGATTGCCTCAGCATATTTGCTGTTAATTAAATAAGTTAATTTTAACTCATATGTTTCCGTACATTGGGTAAGTGTATTGGAGATATTTATTCCCATTATATCAATATGGCAATCCCCAGAAACAAAGTTTTGTACCCTTTGCAAGGAAAGCAATTAATTAGGTTCCCCACCTCAAATCTTGGTGGCAAGACAGCTGCAACACAAATATATAGGGCAGCTCTGATTTATTGCATTTATCTTAGAGTGCCAAAAATTTGTTTAAAATTAATCTAATATACTAATTTTTAACCCATTATACTCATTTTATATCATTAAAAGTAAAAAACATAGGTTGGAATTTCGATGAATCACAATTATATGAAGTTAACTACATAAGTTGAACTGTGTGTAAAATCATACAATTCATTATTACATTAATAATTTATTTCTGGTTTCTAAGGAGATGGAAAATTATGTAAAGCAAATTTCCCAACATAGCTACAATCCCAGCTGCAACAGAAGCTGAATATCTTCAGGTTCCTGCACATGAAACACAAGAACTAACAAGGACAATGTGTTTATACAYTTATAGTTAGGTGGCAAGACCTGATTTACTGCGTTTTGATCGTGTAAGAACAGGATAAGGGAAGATAGTGGAAAGAAGTTTTAATTTTTCATACAAAGTAAAGAAAAAACATGACTTTTAGGAAGAAACACACAAAGTTTACATTAATGTAACAGTATGGGTATTTGTGTATCAATAAAAGGAAAATGAGGAAGGAAGAAAATACCTGTATTATATGGTGAACAGTATTTTCTGTATTTTTAACTGTAAACATGTCCCCCTAGGAATTGTTYAAAAGCATTTATTTGAAATTTAGATGTTGAGACTTGTTAAGAAAATAAATTAACAACTCCATATAAAAAAATTTGTAACATGTAAGACAAGAGATCAGAGCAATCCTCTAATCTTCCATAAAATTTCTAACTAATTTTCCACTCAAAATGTGTAATATCCTGCTCTTTTTCTCCCCCTCCACAACCTGCAATGACTTACAAAAACYAATCACTATAGGTTTCCATGAAACAATAATTTTTCCTCATCAGAGGCTTCAAAACCCCATAGTAAAGAGATCAACTGCTGTCTTAATTTGTGGAATTACTGAAGGCAATTAAAAAGAATTACATACATTAAAGAACYCTTTACTTTTAATTTCTCTAGTAACACCCCACTTGCTTGCACAGGATTTGCTTTTTGCAGAAGTGGAATCATGTAATCCTTTCATTCTTAGACCACATGTTTAATTTCAGTTTCATCAAGTCAAGAATATGTTAACAGCCACATCAGACTGGCACAGGGATTCATCCAGTCCAATATCCTGCCCCTGGCAGGCACTGAATTAGAATTATGCACCAGGACAAACACTTTCCCCCTGAGTGTTCTCTCTGCCTCTGAGATTCTGTAGTTCATACAAAATGTTTCCTGCACTGAATACCATTGTAATGTAATTCTCAATGGATTCTCTCTCAAGAACTTGCTTATTCTATGCTCAAGCTTTCATAGGCCTTTTAACTTCCACAACCTGTTGTGGCAAGCATTCTATAGCCCAGCTACATGCAGCACATTTTGTTTGTTTTTAAATGGACACCTGGTATCATCCCCTTATACCAGAGAAAATCCTGACAGCAGTAAACATCGAAATATGGTGTTACCAGCATRAGCTTTTTTGATTAGGATGCTTTTGAAGCAAATTTCCTCACTATCGCCATTTATGGAGCATTAACTTGGTTGCAGGTAAATTCCGGTGCTTGTAAACTGACTTCCATTAGGATGAAACTAAACAGGAAGCTCCACAGCAAATGCAGGCCAATACTTAACAGGGACAGGACCAAAATAACATTTGGGCCTTCAGGCAGCTTTGAACACATGAGGTGGAGATGCTCACCTCAGATTAAATTCAACTCAAAGTTTAAATCTCTACTGTAAACACATTGGCCTGACCCTCTGCTGACCCAGAGGTACTGCACCAACTTCTCATGATGTAGCTGTAGGTGTTCCACATTACATATATACAAATTACATTAGCTTTCTTCCAAATTACTTCCCATAAGCTCCATTTTGTATGGAGAAATCCTTCTGTCTGGCCTTGGACTCAAGGGGCTTGATTAGCTTTGACAATTACAGGGAATTGTCACAWGTAACATTTGCTATCTGGTATCACTTCTAAATGCAAGTTCTTAATATGCTCTATTGTTTGGATTAGTCCATATCCTGAATAAAGTATCAGATCCTTTCCCATAAAAAGGAAACAATCTTATTCAATGTAAAATCTTTGAATACAGATATGAAAGCCAGGAGCAATTAAGAATTTTGGTGTCTTTCTACAGACAAGAGCTTTGAAAGGAAAACAACTCTTTACAAAATACACAGTTCCAATTTGCTGTAAGTTATTTGTAATTCAGCTGAAGGCTTTGAAGAACAGCCACTAATCTTACTCATCTTGCCATCGATATCTAGCTCAAAGAGTAAGAGAATAAATAGATTATGATCCTATGAATTTGCCTTATGAATCAGATATTTGTGATGACTTCCTTTTACTGAAATGCAGAAGTCAGCATGACGATTCATGATCCTTCAACAGTTTAAAAAGAAAAGTAGCACTAAAGTGAAATGGTAAAAAAAATCCCCCCATTTACTTTTTCTACATAGTCTGCTTGTTGAGGATGGAAGAATATGTGAAATGCTACACTGAAAATGAGAAATTACTAGAAAATACTTATTGTTAACAGRCCTAATGTATGCACAGCAGCTTCCAGTTACAACAGAACCAATACCTCTTCATGCATCAGGCTACTGTGAAAGAGATCTCAAAAGAGGGATAATTTACATAAGTGTACTGATTTAGTTGCATACATCACAGCTTTTAAAAAAAAATTCAGTATCTTGCTACTTTGTGAATTGAAAGATCTGATGCCTTAAGTTTTTACCAATTTTCTTGGCATTTTATATTCCAAGGCTGAGTTCCTATGGTTCAAAACTATATGCTTCAAGAACTTTTAGAGACTGCTTTGTAAATTACAGGGTTTTCTGCAGGGGAAAAACACCACCCTAAAACAAGGTATTTGATATTTTTTTTTTTTGCCTTGATGAAGGAAATATGTATTTTCTGACTCATGTCTTCCATTCAATCACAGTTAAGACTGTGAAAAGAATCTAGGACAAGACACAGACAACAAAAAAAACCTCAACCAAAACTYGACCTTAAAAGCAAACAACAAACCCAACCAACCAAAACAAAATCCCTATTGACATTCCTCTTGGAACTTTACAAAGCCTGGACAGAGACTGTTAAAACACTGACAAAAGGTTATTATGACATTTCTAGCCTCACAGGAACCCCCCTTCCTTGTTAGTCAAAACTAAAACCTCTTAGGTAGACACGTTAAAATGTAGTCAAAACAYGAACCCCATCCTAGAAACATACTAACTCATGATTTAATGGCTGAGGAAGAAAAGCTTATCCCCAGAGAGGTTCAGCTGGATTATCTTTTCCCAAAGTAAGAGAAGTCACATTCTATGACATTATCAAGTTAGGAGAACAAGCGACAATTGTTCTTATTTTCTCGGGTCTTTGTTAAGCACCAAGACTTAGAACCACTTGAAAATTGAGATCCAAATCTCTTAGATATTATCATTGCTGATATATTTGGGTATCAGAATCTCAGAAGATTCCTAGGCTAGAAGTGTACTAGGTCTATCTCCACCCTCAAAAACAATTGTCATGCAACAGAATTTTTTTAATAACTATGTTTAATCAGGAACTTTAGAGAGTGGAAGAAAAAGTTCAAGGGTATSCTTGAACAAAAATTACTACAGAGGATCATCAAAAACTCTATTCTTTATGTMCAAAATCCTTGACATGCTCTACCTATTAGCATACTACACTATAGTAGTACAAAGACCAGCAAGATTTCAGTGGGATGAAATAAGAGTCTTTGGTTTTGATTTCAATAGATCTGTTAACAGTGAAAATTTTTGAATAGATTTAGTTTTTAAGAAATCCTTGACTCAAGATATACT